AAAGACACAAGAGGTAACGAAATTGATAGGAACGTTAATATCCTATCCCAGATTCAAAGTGAGACAGTGGCGTGCTTGTTTGCTGCTCTCACGGTCCCTGGATCGCTGCCAGGATCAAAACCTGCTCTGACCAACCAAGCTTCACATCGTTTTGTGGTTATTTTACTGATGCAAGGCAGGATGAGCCGTTCTCCTGGCCAAGTCGACAAGTGAGTTTTGAGAAGAGATGTTTGAAAATGGGATAGCAATTGCAAAATAAATGGAAGGAGGAATTTCTGGGATCACGTGAAAATGTTGGCGAAATTTGCCGCTGGCTTGCAAGGGTGATATGCTACCATCTTTTCACGGTGCACTTTTGGAGCAAAGACCACCCAGCGGGGGCAAAGAAGGGTCGCATCGCTCGAATTGAAAAGGAGCTACGGTTTACTCTGTTAAGTGGTCTGGGATGTAGGAACAATAACAGGTAGATTGACTGGCTAGCTCAGGTCGGGAACGTCGGACGTAGCACATCTCAATAGTGGTCTTCTCGATGTTTAGCACTTCATGGTGGTCTCTATCCTTCAGAATCGGGCCTGACCGGAGGAGAAGTGGAGTAGGGGAGGGCGGCAGTGGTCTAGTGGCAAGTGGCGCTGTTTACTACACGTGCGGTACAGGAACAACTTCTGGATAGGATGTCGTCCACGCCAACCAAACCAGTTTCATCCTCCCCCCCCCATCGACGGTCCCCCGCAAGCCATTTCATGGGCTAAATTGCTTCAACATGCCACTACAATTCCAAATGGGAGTAGAATGCGTGGCGCATTTCAGAAAGGGATTGATCAGCAAAGTCGATTCTGAGGAGCGGAAAAGTTGATGGGACAGAAACAATAAAGTGTGCCCACCTCCGAGCAGTTTCGATGATATCGTGTACGAGCGAAGGAGTCAAAGTCGGTGGTTGCGCCACGGTTCCCGTCAGAGTGAAAGTTAATGCCTGAAGTGACAAAATGTTGATAAATCCGTTGTATTCCGACCCGTTTTGGTTGTTATCTGCTGTTTTGGAGGCAGTCTGCCATGGTGAAGTTATCAAATCAAGAGGAGCGGGCTTGATTCTTGCCTGGGCAAAGTTTAGGCTTCAACCCAAGTTGCTATACCCGTTTCAATATTTCTGCGACTATGAGTAACAGTCGGATGAGTGGAGTATCCTAGACAAATGAAACATACGACTAGGACTGCCTGTTTGTCGACATCGCCGAAATTGGCATCGTGATGATCTGCTGCTTCCAAGTAATCTCGGAAGTATTCAGATGCCAGGAAAATGCCCTCTTTGGCCACAGAGATGTTGCCATCTCGACAGCGAATCGTGAAGTCCAATCGGGATCTGGAAAGGAGGCGGGTTAGTGACCTTGTATTTCATAAGCTCTCCGTGTGGATGCTATCTCAACTAAAAGGAGCAAATTTGTTCAATTTCGATTGTTCTCCCAACCGGGAGCTGCCCAAGTATGAACATATTGCCTACAGACAGCGATGTTGTGGTCGTGTGGGTGAAAATCAAACCCTTGTCATTCGGTTAAACCGTGAGAGAATTGCTATCATTCTTGCAACTTACGGATCAGTGAGCATTCGGAACCGATAATCCGGAAAGCTGGGAGGACGAGGAGCAAGGTTCTCGATCTCATCCAAATTGAATGATGTGATCGGTATGGCTAATGTAGACGTCAGCTCGCAAATGTGACCTGAAATAAGTGTTTAATCTCTTTAACCCGTGCCTTTAAGTCCCCAGTATCCTACGATTACCAAGCATCACTTCAACGTTGTAGTGTTAACTCAGGAATATAGTAGCTCCAATCTAGACATAACTCGCTGTGGCTACTAACATCTATTCATCAGTCATATATGTCTATGCCTTATTTCGTGAAGATAAATAAGCGCTTAGGGTTTCAGTTTGTCCAGTACGCTTGTGGGAGTCTTACAGTGAGCTGTGTTTTGTCAGTGATCAGATGATCGGTGGGCGGAGATCGCCGGACCCGCCAGCTTTGAGGCATGATAGGTCGCCGAGGTCAAATTTTTCCATGCGAATTGCGCGTCAGTTCGCACCCTCAGGAGGTCCGTGGGTCCTCAACTAGGTCAGTTTCCCTTTCTTCGACCTTCATTCTAATCGAATTCCTCCTTTAAGTCATCATCCTTCACATTACAGCACAGAAAGCGCTATAATTCCTGTGAAATTAATGTGCTGGCGTTAATAGTGCGGAAGCGCCAGCACCTGCAGCTCTCTTTAAAACGATCATTCATGCTTTCTGAGCTGAAAAGACCTGCTTCTGACAGGCGTTTCATGTCAGTTGATTTCTTCTATTGCCTTCCAGACAAATAGTGCCATCACGTTATCGAAAAGAGGGGCCCTTCTGGCTCCTGAACACTTCGTTTGCAACTAGTATCACCCCGTTTTTTTGATACATTTGATTGATTTTTGGACAAATTCTAACAAGTAAGTGAAAGTAGCTGTACTAATGTCTTACCGAAAAATTCGTTCCCTTTAAGCATTCTTTGTAATGCCGCTCCCAAATCCGAGGCTTGCGGAACGTAATAACCACGATTGCCGTGCGGCTCGTCGATCACAGAGCACACCTGCGGACGAGCTCTGAGCAGCACTGAAAATTTCGCTTCCAAAGGGCAGTTTCAATGGAAAACATTGGAAAAAGCTTGACAGGGCTCTTTCGAAAGAATTCGCATCTTGACCCAGTGGAATACAGTGGGGTTGAGCAAAAACGTGGACAAAAGGAAGGCATGGAGGAATTCTACAGTACCTTTATTCGTTCCTTGTTGAAGTACTACAAGGTTAAAGGTGCATGTGGAATCCGCTGGCAGTCGAGTATTGAATGCGCGTATTGTCGGCTCGACGGACAGCTGGAACGCACGGTTTTAATTGTAGAAATTGGTAGATATCCAAAGAGCGCTTTTATTCATGCCTGTGCGTTGATAATGTGGAAGTCCAAGGATCTGCCCCCTCCTGGTTCTCTAATCTCTAATCCATGTTTCATTGACTGTGACAATTCCTAATTACATCGCCGATGACATACATCGCAAAGAAAAGGCATTTTTCAAAAGCTATTCAGTGAATTCACAATACTTCGAAAGCAATCACTGTCAATCACAAGAAAATATCTTTTTCCTCCCACGATTTGACCACGGCAATCTTAATCGATAGCAATACACCTACGCTTTACTGATTTGTGATATTTGCTTCAACTAGAAATCTGCAGTGCGGCCCCTCGTCTAGGACACGTACAAAAATTCCATAGCACCGTTAGCCATTTTTTATCAGATTTGCATGACCGAGAACCAAATGGAATGCTGCATACGCTGTGCCTATTTGTGGGAGAATGACACAGGAAGAAGCGGGCGTTCCGCTTTAAAAGGACCGCGTGGGTCACCGGTTCGTCGCTTGCTGTGGCTCCCTCCCTCTGAAGGCTTACATGAAACTTGTATTGCCTTCAACGGCGACGCACTTGTGAGACCAAGTCACATCTAATGGAGCGGTCAGAGTTGGCGATCGTACGTGCGATGAGGCGAGCAGGCGATTAGTCTATAATGAAAAATATACGTATAGATGGGCGATTAGGCGATTAGGCGATTAGGCGGTGGAGACTCGAGGCAGGCGGAGCATACGATATGCTATGATTGTTTGTTCGTTCCCCCCAGGCGAGTAGGCGATTAGGCGATTAGGCGATCACTCAATGGGAAGAGCAAGCAAATTGATATGTATCCATTTCTTGTCGACTGCTCGCCTAATCGCCTAATCGCACGTACGATCGCCAACTCTGAGCGCTCCATAAGGAACAAAAATTCCGCACATCTGCTCAAGCTGGCAGTCATATACAGTCGATATCCGAAAGTTGGGGTGGGTGTGTCACCGGAAGTGACGTGCACTTGATAGAAGTTGCGTGGATAAGCTGTTGCCAGCATGCTTTGCTGATATCCAGCGATGTATGTTGGAAGCAGCTTATCCACATAGCTTCTATCAAGTGCACGTCACTTCCGGTGACACGCCCACCCCAACTCACCGATATCGAGTATAAATGTCATATATGATAAAACCATTTACATATTTTGATAGAGTATCATTCTGCTTCCCCGTTCCATCGTAATCGTACATCATTCATCAAGAAATCAGATCATTTACCGGTAGTACTGGCTATGTTGGTAGTAAGGAGAACGCTGAACCTCTCAGAAACAGCACAGCGAATATGCGCTGAGAATTCAAACACCCTGGCCCTGAGAAGATCGTTGGGAATGGGCGGTGGTTAACAAGAAAAGAGAAATTGGCCAGCCTCATCTATTCATATTGGAATAAAGGTGTAATCAATTCCGCTGCTGATTCTTATTGCCACAAAACGCAGAATGGATGTGAGCTACCAGATGAGAACACAGTCATCCATCTATTTATTGAACTTCACGGGTGGGAAACCTAACCGACAATCCAGAATCACCACATTTCAAAGGCATTTTTCCCATTTCGGATCACTTCATCCTTGCATGGACTTAACAAAGGTACATTAATCGCGGGCGCGTGAAATCAATATCCATCTTAAAGGACTGGACAGACTAGCACGACTCAGAACCTCACAGCCACAGAGGTAGCTTTTTCATCTCATCTTCTGGAAAAAAGCATAGTGAGTGAAAATTAGCCGTCGCTCATGTCCTTGGGGGACATTCAAAATAGGGTCGATGGTAAGTGAGACTACATAGGATCAAGCCCAGCATAGGGGAGAAACGCCAGGGAGAACACAAATTGCTCACATGCTCCCCCAGAATCCCTTCCCCTCCCTAGGGCTTAGTCCCAAGCACAGTAATTGGCTCACTCACTTGGATGTCCCCCCCCCCCCCAGGGCATGAGCGCCAACTAGCCTTTTTTGAAGAAGAGAAAACGAAAAATGGGAACTGCTTTCGTACCTCAACACCACGATTCTCGAAGTTTCGAAAACCAAATGTGTCTCCGCGATCTATTCGGATACACCTGAAATTTAGAAAATATTCAGCATAGTAAGGGGTTCGAAAAGGACGAACCATTCGTAGATTCGTGGTCCGTAGATGGTCGAGAAATTGTCCGCATCTCTCATTGAAAACGTTGACTGAATTTCAAAACGCCAAAAATGAACAAACTGCAGCCTCTCTGGAAAGGCCATCCGTATCGACCGGCTAGTAGATCCAAATTGAACCATACCCAATTATGTTTGCAGCTCTTGCTAAAGATATGACATCACTATCGTAATCAGCTTCTTACAATACATGTAGTAGAGCGGTATCTATGGAAGTGAACAAAAAGGTCCTGGCCTTCCTTTTCTGTCAGCCTATATGAGTGAAGACAAGCAAGAAATACCGTGGCGCTGTTCCATGCTTAAGGATGCGCCGCGCACTCGACTTCCATCAAAATCGCAGCATTACGGAAACGCGTAAATGGCTTGCTCAATGAATTGCGGGGTCCCAGAACGATGCTTCTGCCCTCTGCAGTAAGGATGCATTCATATAGCCGAATCCGCTGGAATGGAGAGCACGGCGACCTCTCTGGAGATGGTGAGAAACAGGGTCAACCGAGGATTTCAAAAATTTTTACTCCCCTACCCCTCTTCAGGAGACCCCTCTCTGTCACAACGACGTTCTACCACTTCCAAAAACGAGACTTCCTTTTCAATCTTTTTCTGCCCAATCACAACCCCTGCCCCCTAAAAATCGCAATTACAACCCTCCCCCTAATCTGGACCGGCTAGATGGACAGTTCACCTGGTAGAACTGCTCATCATCGGTGCTGTCTAAAGCTGCTCCAAGCATTTACAGTCCATATCCGCCAGACAGGGTGGGCGGGGCCACATACGTAATTGCGGACTACACAAACTTGATAGTTGTCGCAGCGAACAGCTGATTTATATTCGTTGATTTCTACTATTATTCTGATGTTCTGCTGTATTCTTTCTCTTCTGTATTCCTCCTCTTCTTTTAGGTTTTCGAATTGCTTTGCGACCTTCGCTTTTGTTTTATCTTTATTTTGAATTCGAACTTCACGCTGCTTTAGTCTCGCTTACTTTTTTCCTTTCTTCATCCGGTTGGCAGCCCTTTGTTCAGATTTGAGTAGCAGTTCCATTTTTCGCATCTGTCGCACTTTTTTCACATTTTCAGCCTCTATCTTTACATGTCGATCTAAATGTGTATTAAACAATGTGAGACTTCAAAATTTTTATTGCAAAAGACTCAAAACTTTCTACAAAAGAAATTGCAAAAATGTGTGTTTGCAAAAGTTTTGCAAAAGTTTAAGCCTTTTTTGGCGAGCTTTCGGCGCTTAGCGCCTTTGTCGAGCCTGAAATGAAAATTATAAGCTTTCTTAAAGTCTGTTAATATATTAAAATTGTAAAAACTTTTGGCAAGTTTAAGGCCTTTTTCGGCGGCTTTCGGCGTTAGCCCTTCGACGAGCCTGAAAACCAAAGCAAACGCTTTCTTAAAAGTCTTAAATCCTTCTATTTTATAAAGCGCTAACTTTGTGTGTCGGTTTGTGTATCTGTATGTGTGTGTGTGTGTGTGTGTGTGTGTATGTATGTGTGTCCGTCCGCAAAATGAAGTGAGTGAGAAGGAAGCTCATGGGATAAACAAACCGCTAACAAATCGGGTAGCTTACAGGATTTGAGATATCAATGTTTTGTAGGATAGTTGTGATAACACTCTAGGGCTATATAAACACCTGCTTAGCACACTTCCGTTCATTCCACATGGTGCTGCAGTGGCAGCTGGAGGGCAGTGGAGAGAGGAAGGGAGGATGAGGAAGGGAAGCGAAAAATCTACCGTCATATCATGATTGTGTCCCTTCTACTGTATGAAACACCATTGTGTTGCATACGCGTCACTTCCACGAGGTGTTGGTGTCACAGGAGGAAGGGACCATAGCGGAGGATAGAAAGCTTGCGCAGGAAAGGAAGGTCCCGGCGGTTGACGGGGGACTAATCTGGTATAAATAATTAAAGCACTGCTGTCCACTTCAAAAGTGTAACACTTACCACCCTTGTGGTCTGTGAAGCAGGAACTGTTCCCTACCCTAGACTTACCCTTAAATAGCGTTGACGTGCTACGACCGTTATTTCCCAAAATATCGCATTCATTCCACAGTGATGATAACTGCAGTCATGCGATGAGTTGAAGAGAGTCACGTAACTCGTCTCTGCTATTTATTTCCGGGGCTAGTCTTTTTATTTCCAGAGCCTCCAGTATTTTGCGTTCCACTGTGTTTTCAACGGAACGGTGTAGGACTTTTACGTTGAGGGTGGGTGGATCCCCATGGGCATGTTGTTGGGTTCTATGTTTGGAGAAGCTGTTACCTGGATATGAGGCCGGATTTTGTAGAGCCCTCCGATGTTCATCGAGTCGTTTGTGGAGAGGTCTTCTTGTTTCTCCAACATACTTATGCCCACATCCCTTGGCATTAACTTCATAAATGTATGCTATATATCTTATTGTAGACCACCTCACCCGCCTCCCATACCCATTTCTGTTTATACCACTGCCTATACCAAGCATCGCCGCTGAGCCTCGATTGATGGCAGGACAGGAGGAGGATTTTAAAGCTGCGGTTTGCTGATAGGAAATCCTAGTAAAGGGTTCAGTTTGGAAAGAAGTTTGCCAAGATTTCACAACCTCTGAAATTATATGAGGATTATGTATAAGAAATGCTAAGCAATTTATGAGGATCAATTTATATTGTGACAGTTTTGAAGATTCCAAGAAGTGACGGCTTGCGATTAGGAAAATTTCCGCGATGCCTTTGCCTGACCCTGCTAATAGTTCCTGTACCTTGGCTGTGCAATAACACGAGCTTTTCTCCCCGTGAATTTGATATCGAGCTAACCGAGACATTACTGGCGGCTATAGTAGCGACACACAATATTCTACTGGCTCACAAAGAACTTGGGCGAATGCTGTGTCTCAAAAAAATAGGTACGATAGCAATTTTGGACAGATTCGAAAATCCCTGTGAATTTCTCTCCGCACACTGGTTCCAATATTTCTGGTCGATCGGTTTTCTTTCGATAGCATGACCGCAAGGAAATAACGATGCACTAAATGAAATGGCAGGGAACCAGTCGGACTCGTTACTATGATGAGCTTCTTCGTTTTACTTTGCGCCTTTGAAAAAACCTCAGGTCCGTATAGATGACGGCCAGCTATGCGTAGAATCATTGTAGCGCAGAGTTGCATCGATGTGCGAGTGAGAACCCTCCGTCTCGAAGAATAGGCACAACGAAGGGGAAAAACCGTAAGAAAAACTTCAAGCTAAGCAACTTGCCGCACGCACAGTTCATCTAAAACTTTTTATTAGAGATGCGGGTACGATGAGGCATTACTCGCCCAGCTTCAATGGTGACATCCTCCTTTACAAAATAAAAAATTGTACAGTGCAAACTCGTTTCAGAATGTCCCTAAGCGATCTCTGTTTCCGCAATACTCAAAGGTATCTACGTATTTTTTTTAAGCAGCACCTATTTTATACAGGAGCCAAAAAGACTTGGTCTGCCACATTGACGGATTTATGTCGACAGGTTTTGCTAATTCGAAGCCGAAATGCCTCCCCTCCCGAACTGTCAACTGAGCAAGGATACCGAGCGGGCACTTCATGAATAAAGCTTACATAAGAACCTTGTACCATACGACCTCAGGAAAATCTTGCGAACGGAAAACAAGGTGCATGGGTCGAGCTCTATGGGATCCTTGAAGGATCGTATACCAGTACGACGTTTTCTGAAATGCTGGTTCGGAGGGGTTTGCCCAAAGTTGAAAGCCAGTGTCTTTGGGAAAGCTATCAAACAGTGAAGCTTCCAAGAAATTATGTAAGAACCTTTTGCCGGTGTCCGTTAACGGTAGCAGCTATTATGAGCTTGGACGACGATGGCAGATGACAAGTCCATAATCAGAAAGCCATTACACGTCTACTCATTGAGGACGTTTGAGGAATATTTTCTCCCTCAGCTGACGGCAATTATTTATGAGGGAGAAATCGGTGAGTGCGAGATGAGACAAATTTTTTTTTGACCCCCCCCCCCCCTTAAGCTATGGTAAGGTATACAAAAAGAATAATGTGAACAACATGATAAGAAATCGCGCATGCTCGAAAAATATGGATCATGGGTATTTCTAGAATTTATTTATTTGTTATATTTTATTTTGTTTTTTTATTCACATATTTATTCATTATACTATTGTTTCATCATATTTGACTATGATTTACTTATTTACATATTTTATTTACACATGTTACCGCGCCGTCCCACATGGACGCGTTGTCGGAGGATAAAATATAAATTAGCGCTATGCGTGCGAGGTGGCCGGGATTCACAGTAGGGAGGATTTGGAACTCCTCGACCCCGCTGCGCGGACTATCGCCATGTATCCTAGACGACCCACTCCGAATCATAATTGTAACAGTAAGCGTTTGGGGAAAATAACCAATGTATTCAGAGTCCGTTGTTTCCAGGGCACCCAAAACAGTCGTATAGCATTATTTGACCACCGGGACCGCTGGACGCTGATCGGCCATGAAAGATTCAAGAGCTTGATCTCGATCCTGCACTTAAGGAGTCCCACTTGACATTTCATCACATGTATTCAAGCTGATACGCACTAGAAAAGAAGGGGTTTGGCCCCCGTTGTGAATTGTGGCCGTTAGAGATTAGCCCAAAACTCAGAAACCAAGAAAAAGATTTTCATCTAGACGAATAAATTTCCTTTTTTATTCTTGGGTTCTGGGTTTTGAGGTCATTCCACATTTTTTGTGGGGCACCAAAAACGACGTTTCGGCGCAGAAATGAGGAGAGGCCGGTTTCGCCTCGCATTCCTTTTGCCACAGCTGCCGGACAGTTGCTAGTAGCGATGAGTTCGGTTATGCGCAAAAAAAGAAAGTAGAGTGGGAGTAAAGGGTTTCTATAACCCAGTGGTCTGCGGCACAAACAAAGAATGCGCCATGGACATGACTGCTGCCAAGTGTTTTGGAAGTAACCCAAGTGCGCTACAAATTAATTCTGATTGATAATCCAGTGTTTGCATCATTTAAAACCAGTCTGGTCCCAATGAACCAGTCTAACCATAAGCGGCAGAGATGAAGAAGAATTTCGTATTCTCGGAGTGGATTTTGATCTTCGGACGGGCAAAGAAGAAGCGGGTTCCACCCTCTGCGCCATGTGAACCA